ATTTAAAAAAATCTAATTTAATTTAAAATAGAAAACCGAATATTTTTTAAGAAACTACTAAATATATGAAATTTTTATTAAGTATAACATGTAGTTATTTGTTATCGGTTTCAACCATACAATTGTTAATTTGAATCGGCGCGAGTCGTGAGCACAGTTGACAATAATATAATAATAATTCAATAATAATAATATGGATATAATGTCGCAGTGCGCGCGTACATTTCCCAGCCAATAAATGTAACGTGTTTGAGGTAAGTATATAACTTTATTTCGTATTTGAAAACATAGTTGCGTTGATATTTACCGTACTAACTACCCGTTCTGTGACACAGTGATTGTTCTCTACTTCCGGTCTAGCGTGAACGTAGAACGTAGAAGGTTGTGCTCACGATATGTGCCGCCATCTATTTATGAAAATGAAAACGTGTTTGTTTGAATATGCAAATATGCAAATCACAGATATCTTAAATATTCGTTGAAAAGCAGTTTCAAGTTATAATAACATACTTTAGAAGAGACTTACGCGGCTAATTCCCATTTTTATACGTTTTTTTGAACTTTATCTAGATTTAATTATTCATAACATGTTGATTATAATAACACTTATTTATATTTTAGACTGGCGTAGTAAACAGCGTCAGTGACCAGGAGCTTAAAGAAATGGATTCTGATTAATAATTTGGAATTATGCCCTTACAAAAATAAATTTTAAAAATGTTTTTAAATAATAATAAGTATTTTGGAAAATTCTATATGTTATTTTCGTCATCTACTATATTTCTTATAGGTATAAAAAAGTTGACAGCCCTATGTATTGACCAATCTGCGAACGGCCTAACTATAAAGTGAGTGAAACTCAAAGTAAAATGAACTTCTCCTTAGAATAAAAATTAATGGTACATACTATGTTCTGTAACGATTTATCAAACGGCTTCTATGTTCTTTCCCATGGATAAAGAAATTTTAGAAGGAATTAAAAAGTACCCAGTTGGGTCCTACAGATTTCGGACAATGCAATTTCTGGCTAACTTAGAATTTATTTTCTGCCTTACCAACTCCTCTGCTGAACATAGATCTCCCCCATAGAGTTATTTGTACACCTAACTGTAGTAGAATACACGTTACTTAATACGAAAGCGAATTGGTAACCGCAGTTTTAATTAGTTTTTATGAGAAAGGTTCGTTTCCCTCTGTCGCCTCTTACAACACCCACGAAACGATATGGGGTAGTATATGTTCTTACACTGCGTCTATACAACACACCTGCATCTAGTTGCATATGGTTTAAGACAGGTATTTGTTCGGCAATGGCATCCACGACTTTTTCAGCCACCAGGGCGGCGCCACTTAAACATTAGATGTAAAATTTGACAGATTTCATAAAGGGGAAGTTAATTTGCTTAAAAAACGTAAAGGTTTATATTTCTTTCTGTACTAGTAGTTATATTTTATATTAATTACATTAAAAATAAATAAACCTAAACCAAAGATATTCATAAATAACGAAAAATTAAAAACAGTTCAAAATGTGCAAAAAATTGTAAAAGAAAACCATTGAGGTATTGCTTTGTGTATTAGTATAATACTCTAAAAACTGATAAACTTTTATTTAACACTAACTTCTCTATTAAATGACATTGTGTAACAAAAACTTCACCTCAGTTACAACTAGCGACATCTGGTGAGCGAAGAATTGTTATGCCTCATTAACGGCTTATAGACTGATTGATGATGCTATAATAAACTAATGACGGAGAAGAACGTACAAAAATTTGGTAGCAATAATATTATAATACTAAATGTGTGCCGCGAATATGACACTGTCAACAATGACAAAACATGTTATTTTTACTTATAATAAGTCAGTCCTTGACCAAAAACCCAAATGGTGATGAAGCACTAGATGATAAATCGAATATTATAGAATATTTTTAATATTACGAAAACATCGAGGTAATAGACAACTGCAAACTTGATTAAGCATATAAAAACAATATCATATTTAGTATTCATTTGGAAGATTCTTTGATTTACACGAAAAGTAGTTTAAAGTAGTTTTTCATTTACTGAAAATATATTGCATTTACTTGAAATAACCAGAATCCATTTCTAAATACCAAATAAAAGATTAAGTCTATAAAATTTTATTAGCATATTCTATTAATTAATCGCATTTTTTTATTTTGGTAGGAGGCAACTTTTACAACTTTACATTTTACATGCAAGATATCTAATTTCCTAAATTGACGTCATTATGACGTCACTGTAAAATTTCGTGGCATAAAGGCAGTGTTAGTAACAAGAGGTTATTAAGCGAAGGCGATTTTCGGTCTGAGGCCAAATACATATAGAACAGCTCTACAGACCTGCTAAGTATTTCTCCAAACAGTAATAACCTAAAAAAATTGAGTAAAATGATTTACAAATAACCATAAATATCTTAACATTTAAATTTGTAGAAATCCGATAACATTAATTATATTAAAATTACTATTGTTGTATTTGATTAAGCTTAGTTACAGAAATATGTCTCATAAACAAGATTTACAAATTTAATTAAGGTTAAAGTTCAATTAATAGAAGAGATTATTAAACAAGTATGTAGATTAATTACATTAGTAATAGATTTATTTCATTATTAAGTATAGAGACAATGGCAGATAATATTATTGTGTGTTTTAAGTTTTGTACTTACAGGATTACAGCCTACGTTTGCGAAAACACAAAGAAAATGTAAAATTACATGTTTTTTTTTTACTTTTAGTGTTATTTAAAATGTAGTGAAATTCATATTTATTAAAATTTCATGTTAGCTGAGTGAAAGCTTAACAACGTTTAAAGAAGCAATTAAACTTAAAAGTTTTAATTAGGATTCCTGAGGCTCACGTTGTTTTAACCGAATAAGTAAGAAAATGAAGTCCTAAAACACTATGCCTGTTTTATACCTGATAAAAGGCTAAATATAAATAACTTTATTAACTCCCAGCGTAAAAATTTAGTATCAGAAAATCACAACGTATAATGGACTACAATGTTCAATAATTATATTCGCCTTTACTTCTAAATTGAACTTTGTATTAAATTTAATAGTAGACTCAATTACGAATCTGTAGACTCAATTACGATTATTTAACGTTAATTATATGGAAATTTTAAAAACACGTCGTTGTAATATAGTAACATCCATTTTGTTCAAAAAACGTATTTAATAATAATAACACATGCATAAGAGTATCGATATGTAGATTATCTATATCATTTTGGCCAATATAATGCTTTAAATTTAACATTTGTATATACTAATGACTCACGTTAGTACTATTGTTAATATTGTCTTTAGCCATTCCGCGGTCTTTATTAAAAATTAATAAGCTAAATCTGCGTAAAAAAAATTATTACGTCTTACTTTAAAGAGCACCTCTCTCCCTCCTTAATTGCGTGAACTATCACCGCTACCACTAGTCCTACCATAACTACACTCATTATAATGCCACGTTTAACGTTGCCTGATAATGCAACGTAGTGGCGTATAGAATTAGTGTTGATAAAGAAAGTGCACGCAATTGAGGGATGGTTGGATTTGCTTTAAAAAGTAAGTAAGATACATCTTTTCTATATTTTTTACGCGGATCTTAGATATTAATTTACATCTTTAATAAATATACTTGTTTACGTAGATGTTCCATAAATTATATTCCAAGGTACTACTTCTTGTACTACTTCGCCATAAACGCATAGCCTCTAGCTCTAAACATGTGTCTACAAACAACAACTATGTTTAAAATTTGATGCATTATTCAACGATACATTACAATGCAATCCTCCCGTGATAACAGTGAAAAATCAATTTTCGCACAACCAGTCGACACTGCTCTGCACAATCACATGCATCGACACTTTAACACGTGTACATATAAACGAATTGTTGGAACATAATTTCATTCTCATTAATTTGGGGTGATGAGTCATTTCCATTGTAACCTAACCAACACAGATAAAAAACTAACTCAAAACAAAATGCAACACCACATACACAACGATGTAGTAGCCGCCAATATAGAGTTGTAAACACCTACAGCCTATATATTTAATCCATATTGACGCCTTTACATTTGTCACTTATTTAATTTTGGCACACTCCACTACAGAATGTTGGACGTGCTCTTGTTTCCCACATAACTCACATAAAGTACTTCCTTGTAAAAATAGCCAAACATATTCAGTGGAATGTGATCAGCATGCATTTTAAATATAATGACAATAATTGCCTACTTAGTCTAGTATGTAAGAATCCAGGAATATGAGGAGGCTCACAACTGATTCTATTGTATCACTAAATTGAATTTACCGCGAAATTATTTTAAAATGCTAAATTTACAAAACAAATGTAGCTGATATTTTTATTTTATTTTGGAATGAAACTTAAGTAAAAATACATTTTGAGCCGACTGGGAAATCCTAAAAGGAATATACAGTAAAAGCTAAATCTAACATCGATATGACCAAACTGTAAATGTATACCATCATACAAACTCTTACAAGAAACAAATATAACTCCAACAAATGTTGATCTTAGAACTAATCACAAATGATGATATGGATAATGTATATTGCTAATGTAAATTGCAACTTCGACGTATACAATTAAAACATTATTGTCAAAAAGTTTAATTAATTAATCACACATATTTTAATAACAATTACAATATTATAAGCAATGAATAGGTAATGAAGGTAATATCCTTAATTCTATAGTAACAGATTAGGAGACCTTTGTAATGATTTAGTTGCAATTTGATCGTCACAACGCATAATGATAGTAGTGACATTTTTTTTCTAAAAATAAATTTGTAATCACAGAATCTGGCCTAGCTCTACTCTACATCACTAACATGCGTTTGCCATAGCACAAACATCATCCCGGACAAACATCTATGACGTAACAGACATTAAGTGGGCGAAGTTCCTACAGTGTCAAATTAACCATAAAAAATAGCTCAATCGTCATTATCCATTCCAATTAGCTCAGCTTGAAGCCGTCCCTTTGTACGGCAGCAAGCTGTCAAGCATAATATTCTCAAAGCCAACCTAAATTGGGGGCTAAGTGAAATGAGAATGACGATTTTCCAAAACGAATTGAGTATTCCCAGCCAAACGACACCGAAATGTAACATTGGAATCTTTATCTCCTGATCCGTGAAGTATTCATAAAGTTTGACACCAACGTACGGTGTCCAGGATAACCAGAAGGCGGAAACTAAGACGAAGCTCATCCAGTGGCTCGGGTTGGCTAGATTCTCAGCTAACGCCGTCGCATACTCTTTGTCGTGGATTGGTGCGCCACTGTTAAGTTTTCTCTTCATGGAGAAGATGTAGAAATAGTTGTAAACGATTGAGATGACGCTGGGACCGAGGACGAGAATACCAAGCGTTGCAGTGTAGGCGTAGGTGGTGCCCCAGTCTAGCATGCAAATAAAGGTTTCCTTGTCAAAATTAGCTTCTTTCTTGTAGCCGAGCAAAGGCGGGCAGCAGAGCATAGCAGCGGAGATCCAGGTGAAAACCATCCAGCATTGACTCCGTGTGCGAGTTTGTACCTGGCCACAATAATAATGCATTAAGAGTGTGTCAATAGAACATCGTTGAGACTAAGGGAACGGGCACTAGTTCGTGCAATCTAATTCATCAATCGTCTGTTTCAGATTCATTCTTAATTAATCCGGCCAATTTTTGTTGGATAACTTCTTTTCACTTTTTCATAGTGTAAAATTTGATTAAAATTTTTGGTTTTATTTTAAACACACGATTATTAGCATGCGTTTCTATTATATACGTGTTGTGGATCGATCATATAGAACAACTGCTTTCTCTATTCATAAATTAATAAAATAAGTATGCCATGCAATGCATGTTTACATAATTTAAATATAAGAACTACAGGGACATTAATTTCGTTGCTAAAATAACATTTGACTACTAAGTCTTTCCAAATTACAATTTGTTTTTCTATTCACAACTAATTGTACTAACTCTTCACTCTTAACCAGAAAATTAATTATTTATAGCAAGAAATAAATGCAACTGCCCATCTGACGGTATTAAATATTTACAAAAAAAAACTATATGGAATAAATTTACGGAATAATAAAATTATATTTTCGTGCAAATTAAGACGAATAAACAGCACAAAGAAGCATTGCAAGAAAGTTTAGGGACGGAAAGAACCAACAAACTGATGAAAATGTGCATATTTCATAACAGGAGTATCCTATCCAACATCTTTTTCTCTTTCTCCGTCTATTTCATACATTCATTGAAGTGAAACTTTCTTATCAACGCAGTGGAGAAATTTCGTAGGTACGGTATTTAAAAAAACGTCACGTTTTCTACCGACTTCAAAAAGGAGCCGGTACCCAATTCGACTGGATGATTTTTTTATGTGTGTTACCTCATATCTTTTTACTGGGTAAACCGATTTCGATGATTCTTTTTTTATTTGAAATCTGGTGCTACACGCGTGGTTCCATATAAATTTGATTAAGGTCTGACCAATAGTTTTTGAGTTATTCTTAATAATTTATATTGAAGCCAAAAATTTTTAATTTTAAATTATCTTGTAACGTTTCACCACCGGGGCCGCATGGGTATACTATTATTTAACTTATTTGTGTAAAGTATAAAATAAAAAAGAATGATATGTCATACAGAAGTTTCACTTCGTACGTGTGTACACAATTAAATGCACAATTTTGTTTTCTGAATCGTCAGGACCTCTTTACACTACCGCGGGCCTCTTCCGTGGTGGATAGGCCTTAAGCGCCACGCTGACAGGTGATTAACGATCACAATACCAGATGCTGGTGCCCGTCACCGGTGGTGATATTTTATTTCGTGTAAATTTGATGATATCGCAATCTATTGGAAGATATAAGTTATTTCTGGCATTTCCAATAGGAGCTTCTTAGTTTGTATATTTGTCTTGTGGTTGTCCACAAGACGGAATGGGGTGATGTATTATCTTACGTTGTCATAAGACGCAATTTCATACACATAAATCACACACATCCCATTCATTCAAAAGGCAATAATGAGGGCACGTGCATATTTCTTTTGCCTTTGCTTCTCTGGTTGAAGGAACTACATTTTGAAACGTTATTGGGCCAAAATATGACGATTTACAATTTTTATAAGAACATTTAATTCCATTTGTTACCGATGTCTACCTTAAAGTGTGTAGTTATAGGTATTTATATTTGTTTTATACTTTTTTTATGTTCGAACATTATTCATTTTTGATGTGTTACTATTATTTGATTATTTATTATTTATTACTTTTAATCTTAATTTTCTTTAACTATAGCAAGTCTCGTAACATGTTGTGTCTCTTTGAGTACAATATATAAATTAAATATCTACTTAAATCATAAATTCTATAGCAATTCTATGTTATTACTCTAAGCTACTTTGCCTGTGTTTTATGAAAAAGTAAAAGATGTCTTCGCCATAGAACAAAAGTCATATCAATATTTTATGTGTTAAGTATTATATAATAATAGGTCGGGTAAAAGTTTTCTTCGTATTTTGTTTATATAAAATTTAAGAAAAACCTCTTTGGCTGAACTGTTTGTATCTGGCTGGTTTGAATATCAACAGATATATCGGACATTAAGAAAAAGAAAAATAAAAAGCAAAAAACACATTCTGCAATTATTTTTCTGTCCGCCAAAATGAGTGAATCTAATGAAAAAATTCGATACATTCTGAAGTTTTATTACAAAAAAGGGAAAAAATCGACTCAAGTCGCGAAAAAAAATTGTGACGCTTTTGTACCTAATGCGTCATTAAGAGTAGCACAAAGTTGATGCAAGCGTTTTGAGTGCGAGAATTTTGATGTCAAAGATGCAGCTCGCTCTGGATATCCGCCTTTATACGGCATATTCGTTGTTATGACATAGATAAGAAATTGAGAGTTGACCGCAAAACAGTTTGGACCCATTTGAAAAAGTCTGTCTACACAGAAAAGGTCGATAATTGGGTTTACCACACGAGCTCACTGAAAGAAACCTAATGAACGATTCATTAGGTGGGGAAGGGCATCGTTTATTATGAGCTTTTACCGCCGGGCAAAACCATCGATTTGGATCTCTACCGTCAACATTTATTGAGACTAAGTAAGAAATTGAGAAAAAACGCAGTAAAAAAGTAAAAGTAATCTTTCTTAATTTTTTTTTGAAGCCAGTGGTAATTAAATAAAAGAGTGACTTTCAATAAGCATATTATATATAATCTATATTGAATAAAAAAGTTTCTGTTTGTTTCTGTTTCATGATAACGCCAGACCACACACATCTTTGGCCACTCAGCAAAAATTGAGAGAGCTTGGTTAGGAAATGTTAATACATCCACTATATAGTCCTGACCTAGCTACCTCATATTTTCACCTGTTTCGGTCTCTTCAAAATTCTTTGGGTATCGAGAGAGACTGTCAAAACTACTTGTCGCATTTTTTCGTCAAAAATCCTAAGATTTCAACAAGTTATCCAACAAAATGTCACATATAAACACATCGACAGAATCTAGGAATATTTTATATTTCATCAAATATCTAAAAATCTATGAAGAATTTTCTGATATAGTAAATGGAAGAATGAAAGGTTTTTCATAAAAAATAAAAAACATTTCGTAATTTTATGTTTTAAATAATAGTGTTAATTATTTAATTGCCATAGAAAATTAGTATGATAGAAAAACTTCATTTCTTCTTATAAAACTATTAATTTTAATTAAAATTGAAAAAATTCAATTATTGAAAAAATCTTATAAAATCTAGTTATTAATAATGAGTGTTGGCACCTCTTACATTAATTACACTTCGAAATTGATTGTTCAGAGTTAACATTAAATTGTCATTGTTTTGCTGCGGTATGAGGTCCCGTGTTCGTAAAGTTGTTCCGTCCGTAAGTGTTTGTTGTTCCATCGTCCAATTTGGCGGGAAATCTCTCAAGGCTTTTCCTTGTAAGATGTCCCAGGCATGCTCCTGGCATATTTGGATACTGTGTCGGACAATAACGGACTCTACTACCTTCGCGTGGTATTTTTGTGCAGTCATGCTGCCTTGGATCTAAACGAGCTCGGTTCGTCCGCCAAGACGAATTCCTGCCCACACTATGATTGTCCTGGCGTATGAGTGGACCTCCTGAGCGAGCAGTGGACGGCTAACGCTCCCTGGAGTTTTCCAAACGTGTGTTCTTCGTGAATACGGATGAAACCCGTACCTGCACTCATCGGTGAACAGTACCAAAAACCATTGCCATTGTCACTTCATGGTAAATGCTCCCGAGTCCACGAAAGCCGCCAATCGCGATTGTCACGTCGCAATGCTGGAACACGTAGCGATCTTCTAGCATGAAGACCATTTTTATGTAACCTCCTTAGCATGGTTTGGCCGCTAACCAGCAGCTGGTGGTCCTCCTGGAGCCTTTGTGGTAGTTGCATCGCTGTGATATTGGGTTTTCTTCAGGCGGTCATTTGGAAAAATCGATCCTGTCACTGCATAGTAACACAATATCTACTCGTGTGCCGTTCAGCCATATCCCCAGTACTGCGAACCTTGATATCACGTTTTGGGTGGTGTGTAGGGCCTCAGCAACGACGCGTTGGATAGCACCATTCTAACATGCCCACGGCTCGTAACATTTCATCTCGACTCAAACGACAACGTTAAATTAAAAAAGAAAAACAATCTAATCCATTTTCATTAATTAATATCAGTAGAACAATTATAATTCTCCTTGACCTTAAATCTTAACCCCGTGGCCGTCTGAAAACTTTGGTCGAAAATGACGAATTAAAGGCGATTGTGGAAGCTGATGATACTCAATCTACGGCTGAATTAGCAGCAGCTTTCGAAATAAGCATCAACACAATATTGATCCATTTGCGTCAAATTGACAAGATAGCGATAAGAAGCTTGACAAATGGGTGCCATACGAACTCAAACATCGCCAGGCAAAGAACGCGTTGAGCCGTGCCTTACACTGCTTAACAGGTACACAAACGAAGGAATTTTGAACCTCTTTGTTACATGCGGCGTAAAATGCAATAACAATTTTGCTACCGTATTTTGTTTTTTCTTTTGTTTTTTTTATTTACAAATAGATTTTAAAATAGAATGAAAGTTTTTAATCTGTGCAACTAAAACGATTTTAAACTATGAAGTCGTAAATAATTTAGGATTAGATGTATGTATATTATAATTAAATGTAATTAAACTTTGAAAAAAGTCTTGAATTAGTATAGAAAATACGAAGAAACTTTTTCCCTGACCTTATATAAATATATAAAATTTAACATTTATACCTATGTTAACTAGGTTAATCTCAGTGTATATATGTAATCTATAATCGTTAGTACTACTCTACTCTCTAACTCGTAATTAATTACTATGTAATGCAACGTTTACACACTCTCCGAGCACAGATGCGTAGGCACGAATATGAACATGTAAACGCCTTGTTCAGGTGTTCTCGCTACTCGGCCCGAGTATTCGCCTATTCTCCACTCGATTTTGGTTTTTTGGCCCGCGTAAAAGTACTGC